GGTCTCAAACCCTTAGGTTCACACAATTCACCTGCTTCAGCCTCCCAGAATGCTAGTATTACAGGCATGAGCCACCGTGCCTGGCCTAATTGTATTTTTGAAAATGTACTATTTAATGAGTGGGAAATGTACTGCAGTCTTTCCCATTCCAATTCAGTTCTTCTGTACTAAGGCAGAGATCTGCAGGATACTTTTTCTCTTCCATTTGTATTGTTGCATTAAATTATATATTTTCAATACATATGTCATGTGTTTATTGAGTAAACAAAAGAAGGATATTCTTTGCTTTTCTCTGCCTTTTTTCTTTTCCTGTTTTATTGCCTGCTGTGTTCCCAAAAATAAATGTTAGTTGCATTAAATTGGAAATCTCTACGGAGCATAGCTTCTTTTTTAGCAGTTCTTTTACCTGTATGCAAAATTTTCTTGTGTATTTTTCTCTGATACCTTTCTGATATAAAATTAATGTTTTTTTTCTTTAATTTTTTTTTTAATTTGGAGAACCCCTTAAAGTACTTTTGTAAAGTGTTATTTAAGCAGTATACCCCTAAAATATACATGTACGTGTGTGTATATATAAAACCACCACCAGATATTTTGTAGTAGGGCGGGTAAAGGAAAATAAATGTAATTTGTACATTGAAATTTTCAGTGTTAGCATTATATAATCATAGTCTGGTATTATGGAAGAAGTTAATTGGACTGGGGTTTGAAAATTTGAGTCTGCTTTGAGGAAGAGATGGAGAGAAAATTTTCTCCACTGTCTTAGTTTAAAATTTTATGTAACCTGTATCAGGTTGCTTTTCGTTCTTCAGTAAATTTTTTAAAGATTTATTTTTTTTCTTGAGACAGAGTATCACTCAGTTAGTGCTGTGGTGTTACAGTTCACAGCAACCTCAACTTTTGGGGCTCAAGCAATCCTCTTGCCTCAGCTTCACAAGTCACTTGGGACTACAGGTGCCTGCCACAATGCCTGGCTAATTTTCCTATCTTAGTAGAAATGGGGATCTTACTGTACTTAGGCTGGTTTCCAATACCCCCCCTTTGGCCTCCCAGAGTGCTAGGATTATTATTTTTCATTTTTTTTGTTCTGCATGTGAGTAAAATATAGAGAAAAAATAGCATAAACTAAAAATTATAAAATGTTCTATAGGCTTACTAAAACGATATTATGGCTGTAAATTAAAAGTAGGATGGGTTGACTCATGAATCTTATTTACTTCAATTGTTCAGATTTTTTCTGCTGATAAAATTAGATTGGTTAAAAGGTTTTTATGGAGAAATTTGCTTTCCTTTAGACTTTAAAAATATCTAGTGAAGTCTGTGAGGAATATTAGAGATAGAGAAAATTTATACTCATGGTAAAATTTTATGTGTCTAACTTTTTTGGTAATCAGATTTACCATTTACATATTATTATTGAGTAATATTTGTCCCCTTATTTTATTTTTTTACTTTTAGCAAAGTGTGGGATGCTGTCTCAGGAGATGAATTGATGACCCTGGCTCATAAACACATTGTCAAGACTGTGGATTTCACACAGGTATCAGAAAATGAAATTTATTTTAGGGAGCTAAATTGTTGTTGTTATACAGTCTGTTAATGGTCCTTTTCCAACTGTTTTCAGAAGAGAGAAGATAAATTTGAGATCATCAAAACAGGTTTCTCTGGAGAGTGGGGAGCAAGATCAGGGTAGAATGAGAGAGTTCTTATGTAGATAGTATAATGTAACATTTTTGAACTTGGAAGTTTAAAGGGCTTGGCAATTATGAGAACAGTTACTCATAGTATCTTCTCCAGAAGTCATTGGTTATGTATACATCTCTTTGTGATGTCTGGGAGCTATATTTGAATTTTATTTGGTGTGGAAGAAGTTTTAAAGAGGAGCTAGCTATTAAGAAGGTTAATTTATTATTATTTTACATATTTGTATTTTCAGGATAGTAATTATTTGTTAACCGGGGGACAAGATAAACTATTACGCATATATGATTTGAATAGACCTGAAGCAGGTAAGTGTGATTTATGTATCAGTTTGTGGTTTTATTTTTCTTTTAATTTAAATAACTTTAACTGATAAAAAGATTTCATATTCAGGATTTAGATTAAGAAAATAAAGGTAGTTACAAAGAAAAAAGTTAAAATATCCATTAGTTTTTGGTTCATATCCTTCCAGTCTTTTTATTTTCTATGTAGATATTCTTTTTAATACCAGTTTGTTTATGTAATCTAAATTTTGTCATGGTAAATTTTTATGGTAATGTTAAGTTTAAAAAGGGTGCAGAATAGTACTTACTACCTTTTGGTAAGAGTGGTTATCTGCAGAAGTTGATGATGAGAATTCTCAGTATGTACATATATTTAGATTTTTTGACCCACACAAATGTATTGTTAATAGGGTCTCATGGTATATACATTTGAAAAATTTTTGTAGTGAAATCTGTCAATTTATGAGTTCTCTCTCTTCGTACAGAAGTTGT